CTGTCACAGAATACCAAGCTATGTTTGAAAAGTTAGGGCACCCAAGTTATCGGATTATCTCAGGAAGCTACTCTAAATTGCTTCATTTCAGGGCTGGCAAGCGACATACAAAACGAGATCGCTGTTCATAAACCGGTTTCAACCTCACAAGCTATTGGCTTAGCTAAACTAATTGAATCCAAAATCAAGGACTCTAAACCCAAATATCAAAAACCTTTTTCACACACGCCAAACAAAACACACCCTAATACAACACCCATAACACCAACTTCCACACACACCAGACCCTCCACCGCCCCCCAACCCATTAAACTACCTATCTGACGCCTTTCTAATGCTCAGCTTCAAGAGCGTCGCGCACAGGGACTTTGTTTTAACTGTGATGAAAAGTTCATACCAAGTCATAAATGCGCAACTGGAAAATTCTTATTGCTAATGGTGGATGAGGATGATCCTACAACCCAAGAACCCTTAGACAATACTGAGGGCCTATCCCCTGTAAACGAACCTAAGGATACTTACTTCCAACTTTCCCCACAGGCCGTCAGCAGCCATTTCTCTCCAAAGACACTTAAGTTTATCGATTCACTTCATGGCATCGGTGTGACGGTGCTAATTGACACGGGTAGCACCCACAATATACTACAACCTCGTATTACTCAGCACTTAAAACTCCTAACTACACCAATCCCAAACTTCTCGGTGATGGTGGGAAATGGTTCCAAATTATCATGCGCAGGATTATGCTCGCAAGTCCCTATCACCTTACAAAATCACCTCTCCGTTATTCCATTCCACTTAATCCCTATTGAAGGAGTCGATGTTATCCTCGGCATGGAATGGTTACATACACTAGGTCCCCTCCTAGCAGATTTCTCAATACCCAAGATTTCTTTCACTTACCACAACAACAAAATCTCAATCACAGGTGATCCAAAAACACTTACTACTCACTCTTCATACCAACAACTTTGTAACCTTGTCCATACTGATTCAATTGCTTCCGTCCATCTGTTACTTTACCAACCTCAACAATTTTCACACCCATAATACATTTAAGTCACTACAACCCTCTTTACCCAAACAGGTTGCATCCCTTTTACAATCCTATGCTACGGTTTTCCAGACCCCACAAGGCCTACCCCCAACTAGACCACATGACCACCACATCCATGTACTACCTAATGCTCATCCCACCAACGTGAAACCCTAGAGATACCCTCACTCACAAAAAGAAGCCATGACAACAATCATTCATGACATGCTACAGGAGGGCATTATTCGACCAAGTTACAACCCTTATTCTTCCCCGGTACTCCTAGTCAGAAAAAAAGACGACTCTTGGCGATTTTGCATTGACTATAGGGCCTTAAACGCCGTTACAATTAAAGATCATTTTCCCATACCCACAACTGATGAACTTTTTGATGAATTGGGTTCAGCTACTATTTTTTCTAAAATTGACTTATGATCCGGTTATCACCAGATCATGGTTGCACCAGAAGACACGCACAAGACTGCGTTCAAAATGTTTGATGGGCACTATGAGTTTTTAGTTATGCCTTTCGGTCTTACTAATGCTCCTAGTTCTTTTCAGTTGGCGATGAATGATTTGCTTCGCCCATACTTACGGCGGTTCGTTTTAGTTTTTTTTATGACATTTTAATTTACAGTTCCTACATTTCTGACCATGTTTTTCATTTGCAATTAGTTTTGGAGTTATTGCTAGCTAACCAATTTTATGCCAAATTATCCAAATGTATTTTTGTTGTTCTGTATGTGGATTATTTAGGGCATATTATCTCAAGGGATGGTGTTACCCCCGATCCGGAAAAGATCCAAGCAATAATCAATTGGCCTACGCCACGTTCTCTCACGACACTCAGGGGATTTTTAGGCCTCACCAGATTTTATAGAAGATTTGTTCGCCAATACGCCTCACTCGCCGCTCCTCTCACCGATTTATTGCTACATCTGCTGAGACAGCTTTTACAACACTTAAGAAAAACATGACAGAAACACCAATTTTGCGTCTTCCGGATTTCTCTCAGCTCTTTGTCCTTGAGACTGACGCTTCAGCAGTAGCAGTTGGCGCCGTATTACCTCAACAAGCGCACCCTTTGGCCTTCTTCAGTAAGAAACTCTGCAGCCGTCTACAGGCTTCCTCAGTGTATGTCCGAGAGATGTATGCAATCACAGAATCTGTCAAGAAGTGGCGTCAGTATTTAATTGGAAGGCATTTTCACATTTATACCGATCATAAGAGTTTAAAGAGTTTACTAGTGCAAACAATCCAGACTCCTGAACAGTAGAGATGGGCCGCTAAACTTCAGGGTTTCAATTTCGAAATTTTTTACAGACCCGGCAAGTCCAATCAGGTCGCTGATGCCCTTAGCAGAATTCATACAAAAGAAGGTGTTGTGTTGCTGTCTATCTCCTCTCCCGTCCCATTCCTCATCAGCCAACTCCAACAATACTACAAAACCAACAAAGAAGGTCAGGACCTCATACACAAGATTTTTTCTACACAAGAGTCACAGGAATATTTCTACAAAAAAATGAGTTTATCTACTATAAGGAGAAATTTTACATACCCCCAGTGGAGACATTGCGCAATCACATCTTAACAGAGTTCCATTCAACACCTTCAGGCGACCATTCGGGACTTTAACCAACTCTAGCTCGCTTATCTTCTTCATTCCTATGGCCTGGCATCTACACGGACACAAAACATTTTGTTCAGTATTGTTCCATCTGTCAGAAAAATAAATATCAAACAAAAAAAAACAGGGCCTGCTCCAGCCTATCCCAATTCCGAACCAAGTCTGGGAAGATTTATCCATGGATTTTATAACACACTTACCAGTCTCTTTTGGCCACACAGTAATATGGGTCGTCTGTGATAGACTCACTAAGTTCTGCCATTTTATTGCTCTCCCAACCAAATACTCAGCAAAAGACTTGGCTTTACGTTTTGCAGTAGAGATCCCTCGACTACACGATACTCCCAAATCGATCGTCTCTGATCGCGACCCCCTTTTTCTGAGTACATTCTGGAAGGAACTTTTTCACGCTCAAGGAACGACTCTGAAGTATAGCACAACGCATCACCCTGAAACAGACAATCAAACAGAAGTGTTTAATCGTTGCTTAGAAACTTATTTGCGTTGTACCAAAAGTGACCAACCAAGACGATGGTTTAAGTACTTACATCTTACAGAATTCTGGCACAATACAGCTTTTCACAACTCCATCAAAATGTCACCTTTTAAGGCACTCTACGGACGCACTCCTCCTTCTCCTCCTCTTTACCACTCCGGATATATATCTCTTGCGACGGTGGATCTATCCTTACAAAACAGAAATGACATCATTAATAAGTTGAAACTCAATCTAGAACATAGCAGAAAACTTATGCAAATACAAAGTAACAAGAAACGAGTGACATTAGCTTTGCTGAAGGAGATTTCGTCTTGCTGTGTCTTCAGCCTTATCGCCAAGTTACGGTCCAACACCGCGTTTCTCACAAACTTGCCAAACGATTTTACGGTCCCTTCAAGATTCTTCGTAGAATTGGAGAGGTCGCGTATCACTTGGATCTTTCCTCTACCTCAAGGACTCACCCTGTTTTTCACGTTTTGCAACTCCGCAAATTCTACGGCCTGGATCCTCCTTCTTCCTTCCCTCCCATTCCACCAGAGTTTGAACATGACAACGAACAACCTTCGCCCTCAGATTTTCCACCTAGAACCACCACAGACTATGACTCTGGTACTCAAAATCTGGCAGACAACCTTAATGAGGCACATGCAAGACCGGATTCGGCGACGGAAATGCAAGAACCAACCTTCACAAAAGATCTTTCTGGTCCAAAGACTTTGAAGCAAATGGCGGTTTTCAGTAAGGATTCAGAAGTTCAAGAGACAAAGAGAACTGACATGCAAGTTCAAGAGAAGAGAAATGACTCAAGTTTGAAGAAAGAAAATGAGAGAGAAAAGCAAAAAGCTGAAGTGATCTCAAAGGATACTAGCAAATCTATTTTTCCAATTAAAACGTCTACTTCCCACTTTAATGCTGGTTCTGACTCACCAGTTTCCAACGCACGCGGGGAACATGCACCAATGCCACTTATCCCTTTACAGTGTCCCAAGACCCCTTCATCACCGTCCGCTTTTCCTTCTCGTGATATGAGTCTGCCTCTTCCATCGCCCAAACCTGCCTCTTCACGTGATGAAGACTTTCCCCAACAGCCATGTGGCCCACATGCAGACTTCCCTGACCCACGCGTGACCCCAGTTGCACCCCATTTACTCCCACCTAATTGTTGCACTTCCACCCTTCCTAACAAAACGACAAACCCTTGGACAAAATCTTTTCAGCCTTTTAGCCCACACACTAAGTCCAACCTTGAGGACAAGGTTGTTTGTGGGCCAGATAGTATTGTTAGTAGACTCAAACGCATTATTACTCAACCCAAATGGATGGGGGATTATGAACTAAAATAGGATGTTGTACTAGTTTTATTAATAATTTTTCAAGTTGGACCGGTTTGTTGTGGTCCAGTTTAACCTGACTCTTTTATATTTATTCTGGGTTCCTCCTTGAGAGAGGCAAGAAGAAAGATAATTTTCTACTTTTATCTTTTATATTATTTCTTAGTCTTGTGTCTTGTTAATGGTAAACCCTAGATCTAGAAATAGTAGTTGAATCCTTTCTTTCATTCATAATGCAAAATGACATCTTGTATTATTTACAAGGGAATCTTTTACACAAGGAAAAATGCAGTGTTTATTATACTCAATAAAAAATGAAATTAATAAGGCCGCGAAAGAAAACACATTGTTTCAACTAAGGATTTATACGACTAAGAACTTCATTGTTATGCACCATAGTTATCAAAAACTCTTTCTAACGCACTCCACTCTTGCATATATCATACTTAGGGGGTCGTGATAAGCCATTGATTCTCACGTATTACAAAGCATGATTACTCGGAACTCTCAAGTAAAACAAAACAAGTGTGAAAGAGGATAATTGACATCATATTCATGCTTAACTTCGTACGTGTCCTCCACATAGCACTCACTCAAACCATATACACTCATATCATCTTTTGATGTTGTTGACTCGTTAATCCTTTGTTGGGGAAAAGACCAAGAATAATCAAACTCCAATGTATTTGGTGAAATACCCAATTCGCAGTTTATCATATTCATATCTACCCCATAATGATTACTATATTCAGAAACTTGGTTCTGAACCCAAAACAAAGACTTTGAGTCTTCACTACTCCATGAAGAGTTGTTTTCCTTTTCCTGTAACATGATGCTATTATCAATAGGTGCACCTTGAAAAGAAGAACACGTCATTGTGGACTGGTTTTGAGATTGAGTTTGAGTTTGATTTGAGATGGATTTGCGATGAAGGAGCTTTTTGAGTTTAAGAGATATAGGAGAATTAGTAGGAATGGAATGATTAGTAGAGAAGTTTGTACGAGTGTTTGAACCTCGAAGGAGACAAGCAGCTTCATCATAAGCACGGGCAGCTTCTTCAGCAGTTTTATATGTACCAAGCCACATCCTAATGTTCTTCTGTGTATCTTTTATCTCTGCTGCCCATTTCCCTGAAGCCCTTTGTCTTACTCCAACAAATTTGGATCTATTCTTCATTATGAGTTTCTCTCTGTGTTTGCCTTCGTTGCTCTTTCGTTGTTGATGTTCCATATCCATTAATATAAATGCCAATCAAGATAGCCAAAACACATATATACATGTGTGCCCGTGTGTGTGTTCTAAAAAAGTATAATTAGTTCATTTTCACTTTTCAGTTGGTTTAGAGTAGTGGAGAGCTCGTTTTCAGTTGCTTGTCACCTATATCTATACTAATTGTGGGGTTAGTATTTGACTTATAACTGTAGTGGTTGGCATCATCTAATGATTTAATCATCTTCATTGTGGTTCTGGTTTGGTCAAACAAATGAAGCAAATTATGAATCGTGATGACCACCCACATAGAATGTTGGCTTTCACGCTTAAATTTTAAAATGCTTTCGGGATTGATCATTCATTTAAACATTATTTTCCACCTTAACATTGCACCACTTCGAATATAACGTAAAATGTGGCATGACATAATGTTTCAAAGCCTAAAATGGGTTTACTAAACATACAACAGTGTTCGAACATCATAGACGGCGCTCCGCTTTGAAGTTTGTTTCCTTAAACAGTGTTATCACCAAAAACCTAGCGAATACGAAACTTCAAAATTGCCCCATCACAGAAATATGTTCAGTCTCATCACCAGTTCCATTTAATTTAGCTCTAACAAGTCGGAGCAACGAAAAGTGCAAGAAATTTTAATTTGTTTTGATCAAAATATTTGAGTTTTTAGTTTGATGGTTGAAATTTCATCTCCTTAAATGCAAAACAAATAGTGTCACATATTTTCTCTTCCAGTCAAATGTTCTTGCATCTACACTAATAATTACTTAATTTTAAACAAAATCGAAATAGTAAAGCACAAGAGCAAACTATCATACAAAGTCAACAAAGCTGATTTTAAAGAAAACAATGACGTAAACAAGAAACACATTTATCAGAATCTTTTAATTGTGGACGAATTATATAGATTGGATAAACAAATGTCTGCAACCTTGATGCATAAATAGGACTGATACTTCATATGATACATTTCAGACTCTGGTAGGATGAATAAATAACAATACAATAGGCCAAAACTGCACGAATTGCCCCACAGACAACCCTGTATTCTCACGCAATACGGTAAGAAAGAAACAAAGAGGAATGACACGTGAAGCTCCTAGCCACAAATGCATAACCTCCTTTAGGACTCAATCGCACCATGAACACTCATAAATATACACATTCTACAGAAAGTTCCCTTTCCAATCACAATTGACTCTGCATTCTCAAAACTGAAGCCATGCTGCTATAAAAACACCATGCAATAATGAATGATGGAAACCATCTTATGGCAAAAAGAATGGGTAACAAAAAGAGAACACCAAACTGGAAAAAGCTTGTTCCCAAAATGCACGAGACACCAACTGCTAACCCAGATGCTAAGGGAGAAATGATGAATTGCAATAAGCAAAGCTATGCAAACTATGAAGAAAGGATGGATTGTAAAGCAATCTGTTGTTGCGGCTGCAAAGATGACCAAGTGGAAGCAAGAGTGGCGGGTGGTAGTGTTTGCTGGAGCTGTCTGAGTAAAGTAACCATTCTGCCAGCTGTTTGTTCTGTTGCAAGGTCTTTACCAGCACATAAAACCTAGTTATCACACAATGGATTCTATTAGAAAGAGAATCAGCTCCAAGCAAATATATATTACATAAGAAAAACCTGGATTGACTCACAGATAATGTCTACATGAGACAAATCAAGAATTGTCAAGTTAATCATTAACTAGTTGTATGTGCAAGGTGTCAATAAAGAGGCATATAAACAAGAATTAATCTGTTTTAGCAGTTAAGAGTTTGTGCAATAAATTCATGGCTATATGACAGTTGCAATTCTGAATTGTCCAATAAAAGTTAATCGTATCCAAGACAGTCTTGATGCTCAGGATCTTCCTTAAATCATTTTGTTTGCATCCATACAACAACTTTACTTCTTTTTTTTTTCAAAATCAATTTTGAGCAATCACTAGCACAAGCTTCTCAAAAGGCAAGAATTAGCATGACACCGGTAAAAAAAAATTATGAATTTCAGACAAAAACCTGACATGCTTCATTGAGTTAACAATTACAAGCAAACAACTCATTCACATTGTTTGTCTTTCTCCGTGTAAATAAATTTGTCAGGGTGTAATCAAAAGGCATTGATATTTTGACTGACTTCCAAATTCTCCAAAAAACTTTTAAAATATTTATGCTGGCATTTTTGGGAAATCATCAAATTTTTAATGGAAAATCTGGATTGTTTAACATGTCATATACAGAACAAAAATTGATGCCTATGTGATGCTAGTCATATGCCAAAAACAACTGTGCACTAATATTTTCGTTCTGTTCTTTTTCAGGAAGCAATCATCATACTTCCACTTGTAGATTGGCATTAGAATTCCTTTCATCAAAAACAAAACTCTGCTCATTTTTTAGATAACCTACTCCCTAGCTTCTAAGCTTAATCATTTTAGTACAAAGGAGCAAATTCATGATGTTATACTAACCTCTGCGAACACCGCGACTATTTTGGGAAGGTGTTGATTGTTTGGGCCTAACAGCTCTCCATCAGACCTGCAGTGAAATAAGGAAAAATTAGAACTAGAACAATATGATAAAAACTGACAGAGCACGTCAGCAAACTTAAAGGTGTTTGAGCAGCTAACCTCTCCGCCATTGAACAAAGTTGATCGTGAACAACTTTGGCCTCAATCAAATCACCTTTTATTGGCAGACAGTTCAACCATGCTGGAACTACCTGTAAATGCAGAGGAGATTAGCAAAAACAATAACTAAATAGACATTTTCCAAAAAAAACACATACATTAGTATTGTTAAAACATTGTTAGAGGAGTAAAGACATAAAAACGGGTCATAAACATGGAAAATAGGTGAAGACCTGGGCAGAATCAATACTGTCTCGGTGAAATTGGCAGATTTTTCCCAGAGCTGAAACTGCATTGTCATATGCCATTACATTATCTGTATGAAGAGCATTAGGATGCTGGATCACAGCATTTAACCTCGATAGAGCCTCTGCAAAAGCGACACCCGTGTTACTCGATATAACAGTTTTTCAAAATTTATTAGCATATTAAGCAGTACCTCCAACAAGAGGTTTGAACATAGAACCCCCATACTCCGCACAAACACCAAGACCATACACCGCCGCCTGCAGAGCAATGAAGACCAATATTACCAATGAAAACATTTAAAACAATAAAAATGCTACTCAAAATGTTCGGCAATAGATAATGACTAATGCTAACCTGTCTGACATCCGGAGTCTCATCATTACATGCCTCCAACAGGAATGGAAGATATGTGTCATAATACCTGCTCAATTGGCGATGAAACGCAATGAAATTGACAACTCGTCTAGATAAATATCACACTGCACATTAAAGTGGGAATCTAACAAAAAGTAGTACTCACTTTATAGCTGCTTCACGGCACTGCTCTGCAACATCGTCAAAAATGCAAATTGCAATCCTTCTCTCTTCAGGAGTCTTGTCCCTTCCCTATATCCAAAACAATAGATTTAAAGTCAAAACAACAAAATGTTTAATTCTTAAAGAAAATATAGATTTTAGATTAGTCAGACAGGCTAAAGACCTGTATGATATTTGCTTGAAGTAAGATTAGACCATTCAATTAGCAAAATGAAACACGACAAAGTCACTCACAATTGAATGAAAGAAAATGAGTTTTAGGAGTATAGAAACACAGGACAAATCAAGAACAAGCTTGAAAGTGATAGAAGTCGAGAAAAAGAAAGACGGAAAATAAGAGGAGCTTTGTGTACTAGAAATGTTAACTGAAAGAAAAAACGGAATTATACAGATTATGCCACATTTATTGTTATGAATCAAACTCAAAATCCTAACTACTTATTAACACCAAGGCAGTTGAACTGAAAGTTAGGCGCAACAAATGCAAAATGTACTTAGAAGTTTGCTAAATCTGTCCCATGTTGACATAACCACCACATAATTTAAAAACTTAAACAAGTTTAAAATTCATCATTTAAGTCAACTAAAATTTTCATGGATGTGACTCAAATCGGGCAATCATGTCAACTTCAGGGATGACCAACATCTCACATATTCTGCATGTAAATAATCTTTTCAATTTACAAGCTAAAACTGAGGAGACAATTAGATAAATGCTGAAAGACATTTAGATGAATAAATAAAATTTAGTATCAATATAAAAAATAAATACAGACTTGGTAGTTTCCTGGAAGAACATACCCACATAGGTGTCAAATAAGATGACAATTCTTCAAAGAAAGGCAAAAAGGAGGCTTTGAAGGTTTTGATCAAGGTTCCCAATATCTCACCCACCTGAGAAAATGTGTAAATATTATAATAGGATGGCCAAGAAAAAAAGATAGTAGCCAAGCTCACTTGTCATTAAGAGGTACTAACTTGGTCAAAAACTTCTTCCTCTTGTTCATTTTCCTCTTTAATCAGCTCTCCCTCTTCAGCATCAAAATCTTCAGCTTGGGCCCTCTCTGATCTCTCTCGTTTTCTACTTGAACTGGCAGTGATCACCTGTTTTACCTCATCAACAATTGATCTGACCTGCTTCTCATCCAAAAGCATCCCAGAGATCTGTAAGAGGGGAAAAACATATCAGAACGCATCCCCAAAAGGGATTTAACATTAAATGAACTAAAACATAAATCCGGATGGGAGGGAGACAAACAAAAAGCTATGACTGTTTAACAAGCATTTCAGAAAGCACCTACTCGTGAACAATAATCAACTCAAATCATACACTAGAAATTGAAGAAAATGACAGCAATATTGCTTGAACAGAATGAGATGTGCAAAATGATGTAAACATATTTCTTCCCTTATAAACAAGACTACGAAATATATTTTTAAGTACAAAGTGATGTGCACCCAATAAACAAGACTATGAAATACATTATAAGTACAAAGTGAAGTACCCAACATCAAGTATTAATGAGACAGGAATTGTTCAACTCAATTAACAAAGTTTGTGACTACCCAAGTGAAAACCCGTTTAAATCATCTA